GTGGAATCTTTGCTGGGGTTGTGGCTCAGTGGCAGAGTGCTTGCCTAGCATGTGTGAGGCACTGGGTTCGGTTCTCAACACTGCAAATAAATAAATAAAATAAGGTTCCATTGACAACTAAAAAATATTTTTTAAAAAGTGGAATCTTTGCTGGGGTTGTGGCTCAGTGGCAGAGTGCTTGCCTAGCATGTGTGAGGCACTGGGTTCGGTTCTCAACACTGCAAATAAATAAATAAAATAAGGTTCCATTGACAACTAAAAAATATTTTTTAAAAAGTGGAATCTTTGCTGGGGTTGTGGCTCAGTGGCAGAGTGCTTGCCTAGCATGTGTGAGGCACTGGGTTCGGTTCTCAACACTGCAAATAAATAAATAAAATAAGGTTCCATTGACAACTAAAAAATATTTTTTAAAAAGTGGAATCTTTGCTGGGGTTGTGGCTCAGTGGCAGAGTGCTTGCCTAGCATGTGTGAGGCACTGGGTTCGGTTCTCAACACTGCAAATAAATAAATAAAATAAGGTTCCATTGACAACTAAAAAATATTTTTTAAAAAGTGGAATCTTTGCTGGGGTTGTGGCTCAGTGGCAGAGTGCTTGCCTAGCATGTGTGAGGCACTGGGTTCGGTTCTCAACACTGCAAATAAATAAATAAAATAAGGTTCCATTGACAACTAAAAAATATTTTTTAAAAAGTGGAATCTTTGCTGGGGTTGTGGCTCAGTGGCAGAGTGCTTGCCTAGCATGTGTGAGGCACTGGGTTCGGTTCTCAACACTGCAAATAAATAAATAAAATAAGGTTCCATTGACAACTAAAAAATATTTTTTAAAAAGTGGAATCTTTGCTGGGGTTGTGGCTCAGTGGCAGAGTGCTTGCCTAGCATGTGTGAGGCACTGGGTTCGGTTCTCAACACTGCAAATAAATAAATAAAATAAGGTTCCATTGACAACTAAAAAATATTTTTTAAAAAGTGGAATCTTTGCTGGGGTTGTGGCTCAGTGGCAGAGTGCTTGCCTAGCATGTGTGAGGCACTGGGTTCGGTTCTCAACACTGCAAATAAATAAATAAAATAAGGTTCCATTGACAACTAAAAAATATTTTTTAAAAAGTGGAATCTTTGCTGGGGTTGTGGCTCAGTGGCAGAGTGCTTGCCTAGCATGTGTGAGGCACTGGGTTCGGTTCTCAACACTGCAAATAAATAAATAAAATAAGGTTCCATTGACAACTAAAAAATATTTTTTAAAAAGTGGAATCTTTGCTGGGGTTGTGGCTCAGTGGCAGAGTGCTTGCCTAGCATGTGTGAGGCACTGGGTTCGGTTCTCAACACTGCAAATAAATAAATAAAATAAGGTTCCATTGACAACTAAAAAATATTTTTTAAAAAGTGGAATCTTTGCTGGGGTTGTGGCTCAGTGGCAGAGTGCTTGCCTAGCATGTGTGAGGCACTGGGTTCGGTTCTCAACACTGCAAATAAATAAATAAAATAAGGTTCCATTGACAACTAAAAAATATTTTTTAAAAAGTGGAATCTTTGCTGGGGTTGTGGCTCAGTGGCAGAGTGCTTGCCTAGCATGTGTGAGGCACTGGGTTCGGTTCTCAACACTGCAAATAAATAAATAAAATAAGGTTCCATTGACAACTAAAAAATATTTTTTAAAAAGTGGAATCTTTGCTGGGGTTGTGGCTCAGTGGCAGAGTGCTTGCCTAGCATGTGTGAGGCACTGGGTTCGGTTCTCAACACTGCAAATAAATAAATAAAATAAGGTTCCATTGACAACTAAAAAATATTTTTTAAAAAGTGGAATCTTTGCTGGGGTTGTGGCTCAGTGGCAGAGTGCTTGCCTAGCATGTGTGAGGCACTGGGTTCGGTTCTCAACACTGCAAATAAATAAATAAAATAAGGTTCCATTGACAACTAAAAAATATTTTTTAAAAAGTGGAATCTTTGCTGGGGTTGTGGCTCAGTGGCAGAGTGCTTGCCTAGCATGTGTGAGGCACTGGGTTCGGTTCTCAACACTGCAAATAAATAAATAAAATAAGGTTCCATTGACAACTAAAAAATATTTTTTAAAAAGTGGAATCTTTGCTGGGGTTGTGGCTCAGTGGCAGAGTGCTTGCCTAGCATGTGTGAGGCACTGGGTTCGGTTCTCAACACTGCAAATAAATAAATAAAATAAGGTTCCATTGACAACTAAAAAATATTTTTTAAAAAGTGGAATCTTTGCTGGGGTTGTGGCTCAGTGGCAGAGTGCTTGCCTAGCATGTGTGAGGCACTGGGTTCGGTTCTCAACACTGCAAATAAATAAATAAAATAAGGTTCCATTGACAACTAAAAAATATTTTTTAAAAAGTGGAATCTTTGCTGGGGTTGTGGCTCAGTGGCAGAGTGCTTGCCTAGCATGTGTGAGGCACTGGGTTCGGTTCTCAACACTGCAAATAAATAAATAAAATAAGGTTCCATTGACAACTAAAAAATATTTTTTAAAAAGTGGAATCTTTGCTGGGGTTGTGGCTCAGTGGCAGAGTGCTTGCCTAGCATGTGTGAGGCACTGGGTTCGGTTCTCAACACTGCAAATAAATAAATAAAATAAGGTTCCATTGACAACTAAAAAATATTTTTTAAAAAGTGGAATCTTTGCTGGGGTTGTGGCTCAGTGGCAGAGTGCTTGCCTAGCATGTGTGAGGCACTGGGTTCGGTTCTCAACACTGCAAATAAATAAATAAAATAAGGTTCCATTGACAACTAAAAAATATTTTTTAAAAAGTGGAATCTTTGCTGGGGTTGTGGCTCAGTGGCAGAGTGCTTGCCTAGCATGTGTGAGGCACTGGGTTCGGTTCTCAACACTGCAAATAAATAAATAAAATAAGGTTCCATTGACAACTAAAAAATATTTTTTAAAAAGTGGAATCTTTGCTGGGGTTGTGGCTCAGTGGCAGAGTGCTTGCCTAGCATGTGTGAGGCACTGGGTTCGGTTCTCAACACTGCAAATAAATAAATAAAATAAGGTTCCATTGACAACTAAAAAATATTTTTTAAAAAGTGGAATCTTTGCTGGGGTTGTGGCTCAGTGGCAGAGTGCTTGCCTAGCATGTGTGAGGCACTGGGTTCGGTTCTCAACACTGCAAATAAATAAATAAAATAAGGTTCCATTGACAACTAAAAAATATTTTTTAAAAAGTGGAATCTTTGCTGGGGTTGTGGCTCAGTGGCAGAGTGCTTGCCTAGCATGTGTGAGGCACTGGGTTCGGTTCTCAACACTGCAAATAAATAAATAAAATAAGGTTCCATTGACAACTAAAAAATATTTTTTAAAAAGTGGAATCTTTGCTGGGGTTGTGGCTCAGTGGCAGAGTGCTTGCCTAGCATGTGTGAGGCACTGGGTTCGGTTCTCAACACTGCAAATAAATAAATAAAATAAGGTTCCATTGACAACTAAAAAATATTTTTTAAAAAGTGGAATCTTTGCTGGGGTTGTGGCTCAGTGGCAGAGTGCTTGCCTAGCATGTGTGAGGCACTGGGTTCGGTTCTCAACACTGCAAATAAATAAATAAAATAAGGTTCCATTGACAACTAAAAAATATTTTTTAAAAAGTGGAATCTTTGCTGGGGTTGTGGCTCAGTGGCAGAGTGCTTGCCTAGCATGTGTGAGGCACTGGGTTCGGTTCTCAACACTGCAAATAAATAAATAAAATAAGGTTCCATTGACAACTAAAAAATATTTTTTAAAAAGTGGAATCTTTGCTGGGGTTGTGGCTCAGTGGCAGAGTGCTTGCCTAGCATGTGTGAGGCACTGGGTTCGGTTCTCAACACTGCAAATAAATAAATAAAATAAGGTTCCATTGACAACTAAAAAATATTTTTTAAAAAGTGGAATCTTTGCTGGGGTTGTGGCTCAGTGGCAGAGTGCTTGCCTAGCATGTGTGAGGCACTGGGTTCGGTTCTCAACACTGCAAATAAATAAATAAAATAAGGTTCCATTGACAACTAAAAAATATTTTTTAAAAAGTGGAATCTTTGCTGGGGTTGTGGCTCAGTGGCAGAGTGCTTGCCTAGCATGTGTGAGGCACTGGGTTCGGTTCTCAACACTGCAAATAAATAAATAAAATAAGGTTCCATTGACAACTAAAAAATATTTTTTAAAAAGTGGAATCTTTGCTGGGGTTGTGGCTCAGTGGCAGAGTGCTTGCCTAGCATGTGTGAGGCACTGGGTTCGGTTCTCAACACTGCAAATAAATAAATAAAATAAGGTTCCATTGACAACTAAAAAATATTTTTTAAAAAGTGGAATCTTTGCTGGGGTTGTGGCTCAGTGGCAGAGTGCTTGCCTAGCATGTGTGAGGCACTGGGTTCGGTTCTCAACACTGCAAATAAATAAATAAAATAAGGTTCCATTGACAACTAAAAAATATTTTTTAAAAAGTGGAATCTTTGCTGGGGTTGTGGCTCAGTGGCAGAGTGCTTGCCTAGCATGTGTGAGGCACTGGGTTCGGTTCTCAACACTGCAAATAAATAAATAAAATAAGGTTCCATTGACAACTAAAAAATATTTTTTAAAAAGTGGAATCTTTGCTGGGGTTGTGGCTCAGTGGCAGAGTGCTTGCCTAGCATGTGTGAGGCACTGGGTTCGGTTCTCAACACTGCAAATAAATAAATAAAATAAGGTTCCATTGACAACTAAAAAATATTTTTTAAAAAGTGGAATCTTTGCTGGGGTTGTGGCTCAGTGGCAGAGTGCTTGCCTAGCATGTGTGAGGCACTGGGTTCGGTTCTCAACACTGCAAATAAATAAATAAAATAAGGTTCCATTGACAACTAAAAAATATTTTTTAAAAAGTGGAATCTTTTCTTCCTCAAGAAACTACAATTTACAAAAAGTGATTTAAATTCCCAGCTAGGAAGGAGTTTAATTTTGCTCATCTTACTTGCTAATTTTGTTGAAATACTTGCATGGACCTTTCAGGATTTTCCAGGTGAAGCAAACCTTTACTCTATTTTTTTTGTAGGTGGACACCACTCTCTCTCAGTTTACTGACCCGAATGTCTACCTGTGGGATGTCCATCACAGTAAGAGGCTTATTAAAGTGGACGGAGTGATGGCCAAGAGGAGGAAATCCTACTGCGTAGATTTTGCTGCCATCCGGCCCCAGATCGCCTTACTCGAGGAAATGCACGTTACACATTTTCACTTCTCCCTGGACTGGGCCCTGATCCTCCCTCTGGGCAACCAGTCCCACGTGAACCACACGGTCCTGCACTTCTATCGCTGCGTGGTCAGTGAACTGGTCCGCGCCAACATCACGCCGGTGGTGTCCCTGTGGCACCCCGCTGCCCCCCACCAAGGCCTGCCGCGTCCGCTGGCCAAGCAGGGCGCCTGGGAGAACCCGCGCACCACCCTGGCTTTTGCAGAGTATGCCAGACTGTGCTTTCAAGAGCTCGGTCACCACGTCCAGTTTTGGATCACGATGAATGAGCCCGACACGCGCAATATGACCTACCGGGCGGGGCATCACCTTCTGAAGGCCCATGCGTTGGCTTGGCACGTGTATGATGAAAAGTTCAGACCTGCTCAAAAGGGCAAAATCTCCATAGCCTTGCAGGCGGATTGGATAGAACCCGCGTGCCCTCTGTCCCCGAAGGACAAAGAAGTGGCCGAGAGAGTTTTGGAATTTGACATTGGCTGGCTGGCCGAACCCATTTTCGGCTCTGGAGATTACCCACGCGTGATGAGGGAATGGCTGAACCAAAGGAACAATTTTCTTCTACCTTATTTCACCGAAGAGGAAAAGAAGCTGATCCAGGGTTCCTTTGACTTTCTGGCTTTAAGCCATTACACCACTATACTTGTAGACTGGGAGAAAGAAGATCCCCTAAAATACAACGATTACCTTGAGGTGCAAGAAATGACGGACATCACCTGGCTCAACTCCCCCAGCCAGGTGGCCGTGGTGCCCTGGGGCTTGCGCAAAGTGCTGAACTGGCTGAAGTTCAAGTACGGAGATCTCCCCATGTATATAATGGCCAATGGCATAGATGATGATCCCCAAGCCGAACAAGACAAGTTGAGGATGTATTACATACAGAATTATGTAAATGAAGCTCTGAAAGGTAAGGAGCTCCTGAAACAGAAAGGCCACCAAAGGGTAGCTGATAGAAACTCTCCAACAGGGCTGCGCATGTGAGTGGTAGCGCGCTCGCCTGGCATGCGCCGGGGCTCTGGGTTCGATCCTTAGCACCACTTAAAATAAAGATGTTGTGTCCACCGAAAACTAAACAATAAGTATATAAAAAAATTATCTCCTCTCTCTCTCTTTAAAAGAAAAGAAACTCTCCAACAGAAACACACACTGCCACTCACAACAAAGGACCTGGTTCCACTGAAACAATCCAAGAAATAGTATTTTCCTCTAGGAGTAAGAGTTTAGGGATAAGTGGAAGACCAGACAGAAACCCCTAGCTCTACTAGGGGATAGACTTTCTCATCTTCAATCACACATGGTCCCACAGACATCTGAAGTGCTGATGAGTGTAAAATTTAAGCCAAATGCATCATAGAAGGTTTAATTACATCAAACCACTGTTCCGTGTAGTTCAATATTTGTCTTGATATTTACCTATTTGTCTCCTTATAAAAAGATTTTTCTAATTAAATCTAATGGATTCCAAAGTTTTATTAAATGCTCTTTTCCCTGGTGGACCAATGCTATGTCAAAGGGAGGTCCTGTGTGCAAAATATTTTAATGATTCCTCCTGTCCTTGTGTTTTTCCAGCCTACGTGTTGGATGGTATCAATCTTTGTGGATACTTTGCTTATTCATTTAACGATCGCTCGGCTCCGAAGTTTGGCCTCTATCGATATGCCGCCAATCAGTTTGAGCCCAAACCATCCATGAAGCATTACAGGAAAATTATCGACAACAATGGTTTCCTAGGTCCCGAAGCGCTGGAAAGGTTCTGCCCTGAAGAATACACCATGTGTACTGAATGCAGTTTTTTTCACACACGGAAGTCTTTACTGGCTTTCATCGCTTTTTTGCTTTTTGCTTTTATTATTTCTCTTTCCCTTATTTTTTACTACTCTAAGAAAGGCAGAAGAAGTTACAAGTAGTCTGAGCTAGGCTTTTCCTGTTCATTTGTCTTGAAATAATTATGCACACACATGAACTGTTAACCGTTTTTACCTCTCAGTGTTGTGAAATTTCATCCATTTGGCTTTTAGGAAACGTTTCTGTGGCATATGTTAGAGGTTCTAAAATGGGCATAGGTGATTGTAAAATAATGAATAAGGAAAAGAGTGTCTGAATTTGTTCTTTTTTTGGGGCAATTAAGAGACTGATAGGCACCGTGATTTCTTTAACACTGCATGGGAAGCATGAAAAATGGGAATCACAGCAGAGAAAACTTTGTACAGAAATTTGAATGACAAGATTAGGAATATTTTTATCTGTGCCCATTTTAAATTTTATGGTTTTCTTGAAGGGACAACTGTAAGCATTAGATTAAAAAAGTTAAGTCCCAGGTCTCTCCAACTACCATGATAATACCTAATGGCCAAGCCTCTAACTCACCAAGTTTCCTATAAAGAAGGTAGCAGAATACATACCGGAGAGATGACAAAGGAGCCCTATTATTCCCTTTAAAAATAGTGTTTTGGGCTGGGAATGTGGCTCAGGCGGTAGCGCGCTCGTCTAGCATGCGTGCGGCCCGGGTTCGATCCTCAGCACCACATACCAACAAAGATGTTGTGTCCGCCGAGAACTAAAAAATAAATATTAAAAATTCTCTCTCTCTCTCTCTCT